TAATATAAGCCAAGTCTTTATCTCTAGTATTTCATCCTTGTGATGATTTACTTTTGACAGATACGAAGAAACAAATGGTTTTATAATACGAGTATTTTTTGAATAACGACATCCTTCAGTTTTAGTTTCTTCAATTATTATTTTTTTTTATATTCATAAAGATTATTTTGTATTGCTGACTTAGTAAGTGGATTTAGGAATAATCCATATTCCCAAGCTGGTCTAATCTTGTGTGATTATTAGGTTTACAGTTGAGAATATTCTTAATAGTGGGGGTACCTACTATAACTGATGATTCAGGGCATTCTAATCCTTTTATATTTTATTTTTCTTGGGGTATTGACATATATAATGTTACATTCTCCTACTTGGTTTGTTGAATATAATTAGTTTTATTAATTTATAAGTTACATTCTGATCCATATATTTATCTGACATTTTATAACAAATTACTTTTGTTGAGGGTACTAGAATATGAAAATTTAGTATTCAAATTGTGCAAAAATATTAATAAATCAAAGAAACTTTAAATCAAGGAAGAGTTGTAAGTTACAAGAACATATTAATACCTTGAATGACAACTCAAGTCCTACCATTACATATATAATGCAGCAATAAGGTATTTAATCGCAGTCACTATCTCATCACACTCAAGATTTGTATATCGTAGTGTCTAAAACTACATGTTGTTAGTTCACTGTCACATAACACTTCAAAACTCATGTTATAAAATTTGTTAATTAGTAAGAAAGGATTTTTTAAAAATACTAGTTATCGTCTCACTTTTGTTCTATTTTGTGTTCAGTAGCAAAAAAGACACTCAATGACATGCATAGAACTATTAACACAATGTTTTTTTGTAATGAAAAATGTACATTACATTAAATTCTTGTGAAGACACGTGACAAAAAATATGCTATCTTGGAAGATTTCACTCAACACTATATTCTCTTCTTTACTCAGTAGAAGGAAACTCATACAAACTGGGTTTATACTGCTATCATGACAAGAAATTCAAGAACTTTCTCAAAACTTTTTAAGGACAAACAACTAGACTTCAATGATTTAATACTAGACATATACCAATATCATAGAGAAGAATATAGCATATGATAAACTGCACACCAGATAACAAACCACAATTATTACATGTACATCCCATGTCACTTGTTCCTTTCTTGAAAACATTGAACAGCAGAGTAAGATATATTTATAGAACTAATGTAAATTTTCATTCAGCCTTGAAGCTATTAAACTTAATCACATTCACATGTTTGTCATTTAGAAACTATAAAAAAACAATGTTTCTGGCTTAGCTAACATTTAAATTTATATCTTTATCATAAGAATCTTATGATATTAAAAATAATAAATGCTTTACAATGACAGAGAAAACTAGTTTTTACAAACTATAACTTCGTGGCTTGTAATTTTGATATATTTTGTGTCTTAATTTGTTCATTTATTACTTTTTTTTTATCATTTAGTACTTTTCAATTGTAAGAAAACTAAATTTAAAAATATTAAAAATGTTCGATGATAAAAAACATTTATTCAAAGCAATACTCATCATTTAAGACACCCATGCTTGGGATTGAGGAAACAATATATTTCAACAGTAGAGACGAGTCTGTTTTGTTGAATAGAGAGCACGAGTATGTAGTTATAACACACCATACAGTAAAAAGCTGTAAAATCATTCGTTGGTTTCAAATTTGTTTCTTTTTATCAAGTTGATTCCCATGCACAAAAATGTGTTCATATACATTCACACATAATACAGGTGAGTGTATATTCTCACAAAAGGTTCACATAAGAATATGTACAGTTGCTGCCTGGTGAGTTTCAGACAGAAAACTAGCACTTTAGGCATGGGAGAACTCTAGTATATAGATTTCCTTCTCAGAGTAGACAACCTTAGTTTAGTTTTTCATCCTATAAAGGCAGTAGGCTGAAATTTATATCACCCAATACACAAAGCAATTAAATTAATTTTAATACTTTTAACTGTTGGATAAAGTGGACTATCTGTCGATTTTACATACAACCATACTATGTTTCGGTAAAACTATATTATAAGCATTTACTTTTAATAAGTGTAAAATTATAAGTAGTGTGTTTCTAAAATTCAGGTCACTTTAAGAAACAGAGCTTTGCACAACGATGTTGCAGCTACAAAACCTTTTACATAACTTGAGTCTAGCTGTCAATGCACCAATAAATATTAAGCACAAATGTGTATGTACTTATGAGAACAATTAAATAGAGTATTAACTAGCAAACAAATTGGTTTTGGATTCTTTAAGCAATGTAATAATAGGTACTTTTCTGAAAGTAAAATGTCAGTTTTTCCTCCCACACAGAGATAACATGTACAATTTTAAAAACCTAATACTAATTATTTTGAAATTCCTGAAATCTTGCATTACTTTAAGTGCTGTTTGGCACAACCTTCTGGTTCTGATTGACAATAAATAAAAAAAATGGCCATTTAATACTGGGTGTATGACCAAATTTTCGTCATCCAACTCTTTATATAACAACAGATGTTCGTAGTTTTTACACTTCTCTGTCAATAAATAAGATCAGTCAGTAAGCATTTACAATTATTGTTCTGTTATTACAAAATCTAGTTTCACACTAGTGAGTACCATAGTTATTAGTTACCAATTTCAGTTAAATTTTGATAAAGGTAATTGAAATGTCCCATTCATTTCAAAGCTTACAACCCAAGGCTGATACAGTAGCATAATAGGTTGAACATTCAAATGTAGAACAGTGTACAGTTTTACCAGTATATCAGTATGATGTAGTTTGCATACCAGCATACGTGTATTGCAGAAAAAGAAAACAAGAATAATTCAAGAACTTTACAGAATATATTCCTGAATTATTTCACAGTTTTTCTTAGAATCTCTAACATAAAGTTGGCAATCAATATTTTGCTTTAAAGTACAAAAGTCCACCGTCAATAATACAAGTGACTTGTTTGCAGAGAATTTAGAGTGACTTGATGCAAGGTATTTATTTTCACAGATTTAGCACTATTTTTTCAATATAAACATAATAATAATAAAAATAATTCAACCAATGATTTTCTAACACATTCTGGCAAGTATTGTCAGGAACTGCTCTTACTGTATGCTTCTTGGTGAATGTTAATTTCAGCAGAGAAAAAAATATATACATTACTGAGCTACAGACTTTCTTACCAAATCAAGCACAGGTCACAAGTCATCTTACAACCAAGTTCTCATGGTTTCAATTTGTTTGTTTTGATATGTGGCTATGCCAGGTTCTACTTTAGTTATAAACAATACAGATTAAATGAAACATGAATAGCATGCATGGCAAAATTGTAACAATTTTATTTTGGGTGTATTTAATTTGATTTGTAATACTACATTTTTAGATAATCTCTAAAATAGACTATAATTTAAGTTTTCCAAGCAGTCTCCAGACATTAACTTCAACTTGTTGATCATAGCATTCAGACCAAACTATTAAAATATTGCTCTAACACTAAGTATTACTAAGTATTATATTATAGGGTTAGTCCTGTGGTATGGCACTCTCTGATTGGATCAGGCTGTACATAGTCTGATGATGGTGTGTGTGTATATATATACCCCCATTAAAAGTTAGAAATCATTATAAAAATCACAACAATAAAATCCTGAAGAAAATCTTTATTAATACCCAATACTTCAACTTCACCTTTCTCAAGGGTTATATATATCTAACTGTTGTCTAATCTAAACTTTAAATGTATTTTAGATATTGTTATGAAATAAACATTTTGCTTTACCCTTTATTTTTGCAAAATTGCTCAGTATGTATTTTCCAATTTATTCTCCCCCATAATGACTCTTTCCATTGATACATTATTGTATCACAGTCCATCATCTTATTTTTATAACAATGTTGATATTCCTTGGACTAAATACTGGGTCAAAACTTGAACACCCATATTAACAATTGTTATTAAGTTAGTTGCTTCTCTTAACATAGCACTGTGTTGAATTGGAAATTTCAGCATATACAATAGAAATGTTTAAAAACTAAAGTTAAAGCAAACATCAATTAATGCTTTACAAACACTCAGTTAAGAAGCATAATACACTTTGTGATTCAAATTTAAATGCCTACTATTCATAGAGATAAAATTTTTCACATTGTACAAAAATGTCTGTATAGCATTTCTGGAATAGAGAAGAAAAATCAAAGTGAAAGATTTTAAGTGTGGTTTAAACCAAATATTCTCCTGATTTCAGAGCTTCCAAAACTATAAAAGTTAGATATACAGAACAATAACTCAAGTTGGTTTACATGATCAATGTTATTCAATCACTGAAATGTTCCAAAATATTATATCCAAACATTTTTTCTTAAATTCCATTTCATTATAATAACTTAACTTCCTAACCCCCTATTACAATATGTAGTGTTCAACTGTAGCTTTTAAATGTCTTTACTATGTTTGTTTTCAATCCTGTTTCTAGTATCAAATACTTGGTTTGGTTTATTTGAAAGTTCACGCAAAGCTACACGAGGGCTATCTGCATTAACCATCCTGAATTTAGCAGTGAAACACTAGAGAGAGAAGGCAGCTAGTCATCACCATCCACTGCCAACTCTTTTACCAACAAATAGTGGGATTGACAATCACACTATAATGCCCCCAATGGCTGAAAGGGCGAGCATGTTTGGTGGGACAGGGATTCAAATCCGCGACCCACAGATTGCAAGTCGAGCACCCTATCATAAAATGCAATAAAAAAGAAGAAAAAAAAAGGCAAAATATATCAAATAACTATTTACTTTACCATAAAAGACAGCTTACCGTAACCCACTGCCTAATATCCATGAGTGTCTTCTGGTTAAATAGGAGATTTTTTAGTCGAGCTAGAGGACCTTCTGCATCTACAGCTCGACACTTCTGAAAGACATCACAGTACCCTTTGAAATCATTACATGGGGATCCAGGTCGTAGTTTGATCCCCTTAATATCTTTCATTTTTTCAATTTCATATGTGCTCTTACAAGTTACAGGTTGATCTATATAGATGAGAAAAAAAAACAATTTTCTTTTAAATTTACAAGTACTGATAATTTTGAAATTCAAATATATCAAGGTTTACAAAATTCTCACTTTCAGTTGGTGAAGGCAAGGACTAAAAAATTAGTGACCAGTCATACTCAGAAATTAGTTTTACTTAATATTTTGTATACACATTGAAATATGAGAGGATTTACGTAACTGCAACAACAACAAAAATAATACAAATACAATTTTAAAAAATGTAGTACTGAACCTACAATATCACTTTGTATTTAATACTTTATGGCTCAATTTGTACTGTGAACCAGTATTAAGATTCAAATAAGCATTTTAATCAACTTGTGACCAGAGTTAAACTATAAGGATAAATTAAAATGGTCAGGATGGACAACTGTCTGCAAGGGAGCTACAAGTTATTAAACCACCAAAATTAGTGAATTTTGACAGTATTTTCTTTTTTTGTACATTGTAACAAAATTAGGGGATGAAAGCTTTAGAATTTTTAACCCGAAATTTTACCTGCAAATATGGATTACCCTAATAGATGCACAGTACCAAGCTCAGCTAATTAGTAAATAATATAAAACAAAACCCTTAATTTTGTATAACCACAAATAACATTTAGATATCAATGTAATGAATAAAGATGTACTGGGATCCTTAGCTAGTGTTATGAAGCAAAACCACATTTAGAGGTTCCTCAATAAGTTTGAAGTTCTATACTGCAGTGGCCTGATACTATATCTACTACATGATATAAAAATTATTTTGTATTTATTATAAGTGATTTACTTAAAGTATATTACTATTTATTGCATATACAATAGTTTAGTTACATAATTAGATGACTTTTACATGATTTTGGTGTAGTTAGCGGTTGTTTCTGTTCTTCTTCCATTGTTATAATGCCATTATACTCATCAATAAGGGCCATGCCCCTTTCAACATTGTCATTTACCACGTTCACATGTTGAACTGTCTGTAGTGCCTCCTTGTCCCCTCTGAGCTTCCATGACTCAGGATCATAAACGAAAAGTTCAGATGGAATTTCAAGGCACCTGAAGAAGTCTTTTGTGTTTTTTGCAATTAAATCTGAGTCTGACATGTCCACAGAGTTTCTGATATTCATCTGGCTGTGCATTGGAGGTTCATTCATGCCTACCTTCTCATTTAATTACCCTACTGTTGCTCATTTTGTCACTATGAATACAGCTGAATCAAAAAATGCCAAACCAATGAAATACCATAGACTTCTAGCAAATCTTTGAAAGGCAGATTCTGAAAGAGCAGAATTAATCTTCTAATACACCTTCTGATGTTGCTAGGGCCATTATCATGGTTTAGTGAGAGATCAGCGGTATTTGGTAAGGTCTTTTCACTGTTCATACATTTGACCAGACTTGGCCTGAACCAATATTTTGTCACCTGCTGACACCATTTCCGTGACATTTAATCCCTGTCTCTTTTGTCTTTGTAGCAATAAATAAATATTGTATTGCTTAGTATTGATCATACCTGAAGAAGGCAGACCAATGTTCTGTTGAAACATGTAGCATGTTCCATCATCGATAAAGTTCTTCCTTATAAATTGTTGTTTGCCTTCCTATTATTATATTAGCATAATGTGCTTCCTTACTCAAGTGTGCAGTATACTTATTACATACTTACAATTAGAGCAGAATGTTTCCTTTATCTAACTAAAAAAATAGAGCTAGTTTCATCATCATTAGATATCCATGATTGAATTAAGAAATGGATTAACAATGATTTAAAGGTAGGAAGGGGAACAGAAATAAATACCAAAAAGTAGCAAGCCTAATTATAAGTTAGCAGTAAATATCATTGTACACATAGTAAGGGTTGTAATAATATGTTCCACATTTCCTTGACATGTGCAGTTTATCATTGTACACATAGTAAGGGTTGTAGCAATATGTTCCACATTTCCTTGACATGTGCAGTTTACAGTGTACTTCTTTGTCCTCTAAAACTTGCTTGCAGAAATCAATATGATCAAGTATCACGACATAAGACATACAGTGTTCACTAACAAACACATATATTAGTAATTTGAGGTGTGCCACATAATCAGTTGTGCCTATCCTCCCTATAGTTGGCTCGGCACCTGGAAGAGTTTGGTTACTTAGCTGTGCTGAAAATAATTGGATATGCTGTTTTTTCATATGGTGATTATTGACGGAACTTTTTGCTATTACTTCCATAATTTAGAAAGTGTGTACAAACAATTCAAAAAACAAAGTCTAGGAATGTTAATTTTCCATAGCCCCCACTGTGTGTACAACCTGTTTAAAGAATATCTTTCTTACAACACTGCCAATGCCATTTATTTTCAAAATATTTCAGCTGCACCAGCATTTTTTTAGATGGAAAACCATCTAAAGACAGAAAACTCCCAATCCTATATTATCTACCACACATTATGACAAAAACTTTTACTACATGAAAACTATGGACAATTATTTTTTTTGACAAAGAACTAGTTCATTTAGTTTTAGTAGTGTAGTCTTGTGAAAATTCAAAGGGAGAAAACTAGCATATGGTATTAATTATATTTTCAGCTTGTCATAGGTTTCAAACTGTGTTGTATATGTGATACATTTTCATGTACAACAGTTTAGGATTAAAAAGTAACTTACTCATATTTGTTGCACTTAAAGAATTCTATCATACTAAACAAAGAGTAGTTCAAATTAATTAAAAAAAAAGAAGCTGAAAATAGGAAAATTACTCATGTGAGAATATTTTGAGAATAAAATTAGAAAAAAATATCAGTTTTATGTACTAGCCCTGAAGAAGCCACAAAGGTGAAACATGGGTTACAATAAAAGTTTTAATGGTTCAAAACATTATCACAGAAACTCAAAAAGCAAATAAGTTGTAAATTTTAGTAATTCAGTCCTGCGAATCATGACTGGAATCACACTGTTACTACTAGGCATAGTATGACTGCCTGTAATTTTACAGGTTTTATGCCGGTGTGGTACATTCTGATTGGTTGGATGAAAACGAGTCAGTGTACTAAAACTATCAACTTGTGACTGTACTCTGGTACAGTTAATTTTCACATAATAAATTTGGTATTTTACACTCTTTTTGCTCACGGTTTCCATCATTATTTCCAACATTGTATACATGTGCATAAGTACTAAAAGGTTTTAAACATGTACCCACAAAATAAACCAAGCTAAATGTCAATCTTACTTCAAAAATAGAATACTTCATTTTGAATGCAAGTTTTCAGACGTATTAGTAAAAATATGAAAATAAGAACAAAGGAAATACTTTCTACACCACTGTTTGTTAAAGCTACCAATCAATGTGTTACTTTTGTAGTTTCTTGCAAAAAATAAGTCCTGATAAAAATATTAAATACTTACTCTGCTCCTGGCAGGCAACCTCACACATTTTTTCTGGTTTTACTCCATGGTCACTAGACAGAAAGCATTCTTCCAAATCATACTTCTCACAGATAGACCCACTACATTCTCCAATCCAGCATACCTGGGTGCCTTCATTACATTCAGTCTTATTAGGCTTAGGAAGTGATGTGGGACACAATGCACTCCTACCAGTAAATCTCAGTTAAGGTAAACAAAAAATAATTACAATGCTTTATAGTTATTAAAACCAGAAAAAACATTAGACTTACATAACGAATTCATAACCACAACATATGTTAAATACATTACCAGAAAAGATGACAACACTCAGTTGAACAATTATTCATATTCATAAAGCTTTGATAAAAGTAAACTACACGAATGTTCTATAGCTATAACTTTAAACTTCTTTCATAAAGACAAGTTATCTAACTCTCTCAGTCATCGTAATACTAATAAAAGATTTGATAAGTAAAAATAAACATGAGAAGTTAGTTTTTCTTCCATATATTAGTTTTAATTCGGGAAAAAAACTAAACATAACCTTCACAAGAAGTAAGATAAAACACTAAATATATGAAAGATGTTTTAATTTTTAAAATCTGAAAATGTCCGAAATTTTAATCAGGAGAGAGAAGATTATGCAAATAAATACTTAAATTATATCAACCGGAAGAAAAAAGCAAGTTTAGAAGTGAAATAGATTATAAAATAAAATGGTCGTTTCAAACATTTGTCAAAGACCTACACATACGAGGTTATGTGAGTTTTACGTATGATGAGCCATAAACCCACATGCCCTGCCATGCCACTTGTAACTACAAGTCAGTCAGTTTTCACTTTTTGGTAAAATTTATAACAAATCCAAAAAAAATTAAATTTCTTAACCAAAACTTAAAACATTTTTCAAAAGATGAAATCTCTACTAGTATACTATAATACTTTCAATACTGGTGGAGTTCACATGTTTTACCATATTACTAATTTTAAGTTCTTGCCTGTTACAAGACCCATTGTAAAGACATGGACAAAATTGAGTGAAATCACTTATTTTGTGTGTAAAATATGCAGGGGACTAGAACACTAATTAGTAGGATTATATGGAATAATGAAGATATTTATGCTTACACGTTTTTTTTAAGACCCAAGTTACTGGGTTCTGTAATAAAAATTTCATGGACCCTCAAGCAAGTTGGTGCATAAATAGTCTAGTAAAAATGTGTTTAAAATGCTTGTGGGATCTATATGGACCCTAAAACTAATTCAAGGGTTAAATAATATATGGCAGAAAGAGTTACGTTATGATTTATGATGGTAATTTCTAAAAACCTTAATAAAAAAAACTATCTAGTATCCTTTTGAGGCAAAAAATATAAAAACAGTAATTATGAAGTTAGGCTTTGATGGCAGCTTGAAATGACAGATAATTTAGGATTTGGATATTTATAAGTTTTTAACATATATCAATAAGCTCAAAACTGTAATGCAGGTGACAAACAATGATCTAACCATAACTAAAATGCTAAAAAAACCTCAGTATTGATTGTAAAATGAGAAATCTTATAATTTAATAGTATTAAAGCTTCCTGATTTTTTTGCTTATTTTATATATAAATTACTTTTTATCACATACATCCCTTGTGTAGCTAATATTTGTTTTTAAATATCTTTAACAACCAAAACATTAAATTTATCATCAGGTCACATGAAAACTTTGCAGATGGTAGGGGGCACCCTCTATCTGCAATGCATTGGTTAAAACAACAAATATATCAGCATTTAAAAAGGATATCCACACATAGACTTGTAACTGCAATCCGAGTTTTCCCGACACAATTTTCGGCTGTTTTCAAAGAGACAATCATCTGTACAACAAGGCCCCTGACTTGGGCTAAAAGGAAGGAAAATTTTACATATTCTATAAAAGTTATTGTCAACAGAATCATTTGATCTCATCGATTAAAAATATCATTTTTCTTATAAACAGGAAAATATACATAAAATTTTTAAAATATATCTCTAAATCAAAGAAATAATGATCAAAAAGCAATGAAAAAGTTCATATACAATAGTTATCTCAAAATACACATGTACGTAAAGGCTTAGAGCCCAAAGAAATACTATGTTGTTACTTTTCTGCAATACTTAAACCTCTAAAATCAGGTAGGGTCAAAGTGCACATCACTTTTACAAGAGTTTGTATTCAAAATTTAATTAAAGAACTTTATTATCAATGTATTACAGATATCAACAAGTTTGGCATCATAACAGTTTATAATTCAAATTTGAATATCATATAAGAAAGATAATTTAATT